TTATGATTTTTACCCTTGGGACCTCAATTAGAAGTCTCCAGAATCCTATATATATAACGTAATAATTATTAATTGTAAGCCGCAAAGTTAATTATTCACCAGGAATTTTCACCCAAAAAACTTTATTATTATTGGTTTAATAACTCGTAAGGACATTTTCATTTTTTAAATAATATTATTAATAAATTGTTATCAATAAATGATGCCAGATTTTTGAGAACCATTCTTGTCCTGTACCACACAAACAACTTTTTGCAAGACGTTGAACTACAAAGATCATCAGCTAGATTTTTTTTTGGTAAAGATTTTCGTATATTTTTTGCTGATCAAAATCAAAAAGTCAAAGCCATGTTTGCAGATATATAAGCCACATTATAAAATTATTTTTTTCATTAGAGAGGAATTTTTTCAATTATTTTTATTTTTTTAAAAAAAAACAATTTTTTAAATAAATATGACAACTACAATAACTTTTCAAACTCATAATAAAATAAATGATGATATTCGACCACCTCCAACAGCATATATAAAGAGTTATTTTTATCCTTCGCATCAACAAAACTCATTATCAACATCATTATACAATTTAAATTATGATGATGATGATGATAATGATGATGATGATATTAACAAAAATTTGCCACCTGAATCTTCATATATTAAATATAACAAAAATATAACATTTTATTATGCGCCTTATCATAATTCGTTTCAGAAGGGTACACTTGGACCAAATCACACTTGTTATTTGATTGGAGCGGTTTATCTAAATTATGAAAGGTTGACACCGATCAAAAGCGTTCATTTGGATTTGATTGGTATTGAGAAAACTTGTTGGTCCAATGTTCACGGTAGATCGAAAACTGTTTATAATGGTGAAGAAGTTTTGGAAAATCAGTCATTTAAAATCTGGGAAACTGATGAAGATTCAAAGGAGATTTTGGAACTCTTAATACCTTTTAAAATCAAATTATCAAACAACAACAACAACAAAACCCCAAATTGATTCATTAAAAGAATTACACCATCCATCACATGCTAAAAAAGTTAAATTTGAAGTAATAATTCCATATAAATAGATCAAACTTACCCAAAGCCAAGTT